CCTTAACTAAATGTTCTTTGAATTTTTTAGTAAGTCTCTCGCTTCTTCTTCCTTACGCGCATTGTACGTAAGCCGTTCCGAAAATGTTGGCACGTGTCACATAAATCCGTTCTTGGACTCATTATTTGAATATAAGGCGTTAACTGGTGTCATAACTTGCAGAACGCATCATATTTTAACAATTTCAACGTGTTATCATTTTTATAAAATCACGATAGACCGACTTATAACTCGTTTCGACGGGCAAAAGTGTAAGCGATTGAGTAATTCGGTTGACATTTCTGCCACAGCGGTAGCAACGGTTACATCAATGGTTATTTTGGTTTTCCATCGCGTGGCACTTGTTTGATATTATCATGAACACGCGGTATTATGCCATTCGTCGCTAGATGATTTCTGGCGTTTTCGAAGTGTGTGCGGCCAATTCCTAACATATTGAGATAAGTTTTTTGGCAGAGGCGTATTGCGATCCCAATAATAAAAAGTTCTTTTGTTTTCTTTTTAAGACGTCGACTAGCAGTTATTTCTCCGCCATTCATTGCTTTTAGCTGAGCCATTACAATTATATCTTGCTCGGATCTAGAAAGAGCTTGAAACGCTTCACGTAATTCGGCAAACTTTTCTCTCGGAATCATTTTTGAACAACCAAAATCAACCTGTCTCCAAGAAACGCATTGCTTTTTCATATTCGGTTGAACCGTTATAATTATGATTTTCCATATACGGGTAATCCTATATATTATTTTTATGGTTTGGTAATTTTTTCACACCATATTTGACAAGCTTTATTGATTTATTATTATTGCACAATCCAATGACAGTTTTCTGGCAGTGAGAAATTAGATCAGACCAATGACGACTATTGCTCCATTCCTATTGTATTGTCTATGCCCTTTTGCGTTTTTCTTTCTCACCTTTTTAGCATTAGTAGATGTGACCAAAAAAAAACAAAACAATGTACTGACATGCCTTGATTATACCGTAAAGGCTCCATATTCTGCACAATCTCCTTGCACTGTTGGATCCACTCATTACTTGCTTTATGTCCACCCCACAGAATGCCATTTTCTTTTTCGACAGGGTCAACATAAGATATCAACAACTTGTGTAACAGTGATTCTATAATGTCACCATTGAAACATGCATACACATTTTTTGAGAGTCCATAAATGCTCAAATGTCCCATTCTGTCCTTGGCATCTTAATCTGTTCGTGTCATAGAAAGTAACGGTGAACACATTCCATACTAAAATTTTTTAATAAAATTTGCTAGTTTTCAGCTTTCAAATGGTATAAAATTCATCTTATTTGCACCATTGGTTCTTGCATAATGCGTAATTTTGTAATTCCGGTTTTTTTGTCCCACATTGTATGTAAAAAGTCGGTCTCATGTGATATTAGGAGAATATCATTACTATTTCAGTACAGTCGATCATATAAAATTTTCCACAGAGAGCTCCATGTACCAACAGTTACTTGTTTCACGCTTAGAGTGGAAAAACAATAAATTATTTTAGAATAATGGTTTTCCACTCGCTATTACTGAATTTGTCACATGGATTCGGTAGGTCAGTCTCATAATATTTTTTGTAATTTTAAATAGTAATCCATGACCCGACTCTGGTGAAAGATTAAGCCAGAGTTAAAAGATATTTTAGAAAGTGCTGCAGGCAAAATAACTAGATCGATACCTTAAAAAAATACACTTTTTCCATAATTTCAGCCAATACATATGCTTGATCAGCATTGTCTGGGATTATGAAACTTGTGAGGATGTCAACAATGTACAATCCTCTTTTGAAATGCATTATATAAATTGTTGTTTCACGTTCTAAAGTGAATGATTAATTATTAGAATTCAACAAATGCAACACAATGTTTTACATATTACATACGATATACAAGCACTCCATAACTCTGGATGCATTCAAGCTGTTCTTCTGTTACGTTGCGTTGCAGATGATACTGTCTTTGGTAGAATATTGATATTTGCATTGCTAAAAAAATAAATAGAAACAATTAAATTAATAAATTTTACCATGTAAAGTCACAAAAATAAGAATGCAGACCTTTAAGTAACTTATCCAAGTCATCATGGTGTTTAGTCACATCCACCAACACTGCATTCCCCACGACCTCCATAAATCCCACTTCTATTTTCTTTAGCATTCATGCAAATTTCGAGGATTCCGTCATGGTTCGTCCCGACATTGACACGCGGCTTTTGCCCTTTAGTCTCGTTTCTGTGTTGTTTTTGCAAGGTACTTTCTACCTCTCCGCTAATCAATGGTTAAACATAACATAATACATTAGAGACAATATACAATCTAATGAATATATATTTTCTAACAACGTACGTTTTAAATCTGATATTAGCGCTCACATCGTCAAATGCTTTAGGAATGATCGGATTGACAAATGATTCCCTATACGCAAACTCTGTTGCATCCGGATCAAGAAGTGCATTGAATGGCATGGCAAATAAGAGTACACTAAATAGAATGTAGATGTGTTAGTTGACTATAATATGATTACGCAATTGAATATTAATTCTTTGCCTACAATCGCTTATAAACGTCCTGAATCCACAAAAGGTCATAATGAGTCCAAAATACAAGCTTTCCTCTAAACGGCCTTTCAAAAATAATCTCTGATTGCGATTCTTCTTCGTCAAAAATTGATCTGGGCTCAACCGCAGACGTATATTTATTAACAAGTTGTTTTATGGTGTTATCCCATTTTGATCGTCGTACAGTGTTTAATTTCTCTTCAGCCGATGGCTCACCCTACAGGAATTAACAAAAATTGCAATTGATTAATCTAAAAAAGCTTTAGGAAATTAATACATACAAGTTTCCAGAATTTTCTCATCATTTTCTTCTCATCGTCTGTAAAGATTTTGTTAACTGGGTCCATTTGATTCCGCTCAGAAAGGTTGACAATATGATAATTAAAAAGACGGTGCTTCACTCTCTTCATTTTCGCAATAAACTGTTGAACTTCGGCAGATACGTCATCAATTTCGTCATTGAGAGACAAATCATCCTCCTCACTATTACATTGCACTATTGTTGTTCGAGGAATCATTTCCACCTCAGTTGCAGTTGATTTCTGCAAAAAAGTAGCAATGTTTGTCTCGTCACTGAACGCTAAATCATTATTCACTTCTGTACTGATTGTTCTGATCTGTGCACATATTTCAAAAGGGTTAAAAGACATGTCTGAAATCTAAATAGTAAATTATATTCGGACCTTGCCCGGTGGTGTCGAAGGTAAGTCTTCCTCGTATGATCTTTTTTGTCCTATTATGGTACCTACTTCTTCTCTTGATATCCCAGCTTGTTTCAGTAGGCGTGAATTTACTTTATTAACATACTCATTAGACTTCTGACTACGAGAAACACAGAGCACATCCAACGCTTCTATCTGCGATTTCTTATCGAAAACATCCTAGAAAATTGCCAAATGATCATGTTAAACTCAAAATCGCAGAATACTTTAAGGAAGACTATTCAACGTCATACATGCCTCTTTTATCATCAACTCTCTCTCCATTTTGACACCATCCCAAAAGCTCCCTTCTTCAGCTGGACGCTTCTGATAAACTCGGGAATTGAAAGCAGTTAGCAAATATAAATCAAGAAAAATAGTGTTTAACATATTTCACATAATCTTCCCGGAGGAACGGCACCCCGCGTCTGTCACACCGAGGAACGGTACCCCATACCTCGAGAAGGACGGCACCCTCCCTAGGCCGTGCAACAGCAGAGAAGATTGTGAGATACAAGTGCTGAGGAACGGTACCCCATACCGCAGAGAGGAACGGCACCCCTCGTAGGCTGCACTGAACTCATAGCAGCTTAAAGATGAAACACAATAAACAGAAGTTTGACGAACCTGTCGAATCAGAATAGTTACACGCTTTTTGATATCACCATCATGTTCTTTCTCAGCAAGAAAGTTATTTAGAAAATTTATGTATCGCTTCCTCCAAATGGCCTTCAGATCGTCCAGCGAATATTCTTCCGAGATGCAATAAGATTTCAATGTTTTTAGAAAACCCAAATATGACCATGATGAAACAGGTGTACTCTCGAAATATGACTTAATTGACAAATGTACTTCAGTGAACATTGAACTAAAAGCAAAAGCAAGTTGTAAGTAAAAAAAAAAAGGATTTCTGCACATTGCATATTCGTGTTACAACCGCGACGCCTTTTTTTGTTTACAACCGCGACGCGTCTTTTGTTACACACGCGACTTAAATTTAAAACTGTTATTACTGTATCTAATGCTCGAACAAATTCTAACCGAACTTCAGAGCAAAATTTCCCGATCTATTTTGCCAAGTGTGCTGGACCCAAGGGATTCGGCAACAATAGTTGATTCGGCGCTTCAATACGGAGAAATATCACATGTTTGTGCAAGTAAAACACATACGGTAATAATAAACAGGGCTGAGTCACTTTTCTCTTCGTG